CGCCGCGCTGCCGCGACCCGGCCGTGCACAACGCGCTCTACGCCGGAGACCTGCTGCGCGTCAAGAGCATCTTCAGGGACGAGAGCGCCGCCAACGTCATCGTGGAGACGGTCACCGAGGAGCTGCTGTGGGAGCCCGAGCTGGGTACGGGGGTTCCCTTGGGGGGTCCCCCTGGGAACAGGGTGGCGCTGGGGACGGGAGGGGGGTTTGGGGCGGGGAGGGAAGCGCCCCCGTGGTGAATAGGGGTTTCCACAAGCAGCCTCAGTGCCGGCTGGGCTGGGCCCCCCTGGGATGTGGGGAGGACATGAAGGGTGTCGCGGTGTCCCCGCTCACAGGGCCGGTCCCGCAGGGCTGTGGGTGCTGAGCCCGCGCACGAAGCAGACGTCGCCGCTGCGCGTGGCCGCCGGCCGCGGCTACCGCGACTGCGCGCGGCACCTGGTGCTGCAGGGCGCCGCCGTGGACGCCGTGGTGGGCGGGCGGGCCGCGCTGCACGACTGCGTGGCCGGCGGCCACCTCGACTGCGCCCGCCTGCTCCTGGCCTTCGGCGCCGACCCCAACGTGCTCTGCGACGACGACGACGGGCTGGCCCCGCTGCACCTCTGCACCGACCCCCAGAGCCTGCCGTAGGTCCCGCCCCCTCATCTGCATGCCGGCGCCGCCCATGGGGGGTCATCTGCATGACAGACTCCTCCCCCACAGAACACATCTGCATATACAGAGCTCTACCCCCCTGGGCCTCATTTGCATGCTGAACTCCACCCACATCAAGCTCATCTGCATGCAAAGCTCCGCCCACTTGTGGTAGTGCRTCTGCACACAAAGCTCCACCCCATGGGAGTCATCTGCATGCCAAGCCCCTCCCACACACCCCACCCTATTCACAGACCCCCTCCTCATCTGCATGCTTAGCTCCGCCTTCCCCAACGCCCCACCCCATCGTTAGAACTTCCAACCCATCGTTACCCCCCTACCTGGAGGAGTAGCCACGCCCCTAGAGAGGTCACGCCCACTCATGCAGGCCACACCCACTGGCAAATCATTGACCTGACAGACCACGCCCCCGCACAGGCCACGCCCCTGCCCTAGGGCACGCCCCCAGACCCATCCCCTGGGGCAGTCCCCGGCCCCCGCAGCTCATTGCACCCGTTCTCTGCCGCCTCGGCAGCACCGGGAGGACGGGGCGGGTGCCGCGGGCCGTCGCCGTCCCGGCCCTCACCCCGCGCCGTTCCCCGCCGCCCGAGGCAGGTGCGCGGAGCTGCTGCTGTCGCACGGCGCGCGCGTCAACCTGAGCACGCGGCAGCGGCGGCTCACGGCGCTGCACGTGGCGGCGCGGCACGGGCTCGAGGCGCACGTGGAGCTCTACCTGCGGCACGGCGCCCGCGCCGCCGTCACCAACTGCGCCGGCTACACGCCGCTCGACTGCGCGCTGCACGCCGTGGACGAGCACCACGCGCAGCAGCCCGAGCGCACCATCGCCCTGCTGCTCGACCACGGCGCCGGGCCCGTGCACCCCAAGGTGGGCTGCGGGGAGGCCGTGCGGGGCGGGGGGCACCCGTGCGCGGTGCCGCTCACTCCCGCGTGCCGCAGATGCTCCGGTTCTGCTGCCGCTGCCCGCGCGCTCTCGAGGTGGTGCTCAACGCGTGCGAGCGCGTGCCGCCCGCCGAGGGCTGGGTCGGTGCCGTGCCGCCGGAGCTGTGGCAGGTACGGCAGTGCGGGGGAGCGCGGGGCCTGGAGACGGGGGCGCACGGGGCTGGGGGTGGGAATGCGCGGGGATGGGGATGCACGGGGATGGGGATGGGAATGCACGGGGCTGGAGATGGGAATGCACGGGGATGGGGATGGGGATGCACGGGGCTGGAGATGGGAATGCACGGGGATGGG